TCCCAATCATAATGACATCATTTCAATCATATCTTTGCCATCAATTTATATCTCATATTAATTACAATTTAAATAAAACTAATTATTTGTGAGTTATAGAGATATTTGAAATAAGAGTTGAATAATGATTTCATAATATATTCATTGCATTGAATCATAAACTGATTATAAATTCATATGTCTTTAAACCCGATGTCTTGTAGTTCCCAATCATAATGACATCATTTCAATCATATCTTTGCCATCAATTTATATCTCATATTAATTACAATTTAAATAAAACTAATTATTTGTGAGTTATAGAGATATTTGAAATAAGAGTTTAGGAATTGGTTTCAAATTAAGACAATCAGTAGTTTTAAAAATTGGATGAAATTTTATTCAATAATTTACACAACATTTAAGGTTTAAAAGAATAAAATATTTATTTGTGTTTTATTTGAAAAATTAATGATAAGATAAATGAGAAGAAATTAAAGATAAAAATCAATGAATAAATAAAATAAAATCAAAAGCAATGAAATACCAAAGAATTGAAGACCAATTGAATCCATACTTACCATTTGAAGAAAAGCCTCGACAACAAAGGATACGATGTCTTGATGATCATCCCATTCTACCATCGATGACATATCGATGGATTTGTCCAATAGTTGATCCACATTTGGCTGATCGTCAGTCACAGCCGGGATCTCCGCCACAACGAGATGTCCATCGGATCTGTTATCAAGTAAAAGAGGTGTCAGTAATTTAAACTCACCCAAAGGAAGTCCATCTTCTCTTTGGTCGCCATCAGATCCAGCCATCGGTCCATCGATGGTTTCCAGCGCTGAAGTGTAGTCCACATCGGGTTCAGTCAATCCCGAGTTATCCATGAGATCGCCAATCATTTGGTCGTCAAAATGGATGTCCAAGAGATGGCCCAACCATTCCGAGAGATCATACGATTCCGGAGTCGGAACCGATGACTCTTCGGAGGGCCTGTAAGGAGAAGAAGGGATGGTTAGTGTCAAACACTCACCCAATGGTTGAGTTGATGAGTCCGGGCCGGCATCGGATCCTCCAGTGATGGGTTCATTGATTGTCGCCACAGTTGTCGTCACAGTTGTCGTCACAGTTGTCGTCGCATCCGATTCAATGGTATCCAAGGGGTGGTTGTCGTCGAGTAGATCCACGGATTGGTTGTCCTCCCAGTGGGAGAACCGATCCGTGAGATCATACTCTTCGGTGGTCTGAGGGGAACATTTGAAAGAAGAATTAAAGTCAGACTCACCCTCGAGTGGTCGTCTCCTCCGTCCGCAGCACTTCCTCCTCAACCATTTCCAGCCCTTCCCGAGAGATATGAAACAATTCATACCTGCGATGAAGTCCAGAGATGATGTCGATGTCGATGAATGCGATGAATGTGTTGATGAAGTGATGAAAGCAGTGGTGAAGAGCACAGGAAGAAGATATTGTCCGAAGAATTGCCGAATTGAGAAAACCGTTAGAAATTGAATTGAATGTAAAAAACCGTTGGATTTAATTAAATATTCAAATATTTGAATTAATAGCGAGATTAATGTGTATTTTAATTGTTGTTTGGTTTGAATTTAAATCTAATTAATTGTGTGTTAACTAAACAATGAATTTCACTATAATTTATATACACTTTCATAAAGGTATCATAAAGTGATGAATATTTAGCAATAAATCATAATTAAGTTTAGTTTTAGTTTAATTTCTCAAATCATTTACTGAATAATATTATAAACAAACCTATAATTTAGTTCTGGATGTGATCTTTCGGTCACATCCCGTGTCTTATCACTCATTTTCATCTAATTCTTAGCCATAATTCTTGTCACAGAATCTCTTCCAAAAACTCTGTTAAAAAACAAAAAAGTTTTTAATAAAATACAAGTAAATCATTAATAAATCATTGATTAAATGATAAACATTGTGGTAAAGGAGTGGAACAAATGGATTGAATGGATAATCAACCCATAAATCAAACCACAAATCAATGGTCACTCTATATGTGGAGATAATCCCAGAATTGGTGTTCAAACTGAGCGCTCAATCATTGCTTTTATACCAGAATCTCATGTGTTTTGCAAATCACATGACTTTACGAAACATAACATTAGTTTTGATGTTATTTTGATTGCAATTATAATTGTTTTGTTTTATTGTAATCAACGGTAAGTTTTCAGTACTTATAAACATATCATTTACTTTAATAGTGATCTGACATTGATTTCAGTCACCCATTGAGTGATGTCTGACAAAGTGGTGGCCGAAGAGGAGCCCAAGAAGAAGCCCTGCTGTCAATCAAAAGCCAATAAAAAGCTCATCAAAATCAGTGATGTATTGATTCAGTGATTGGTTTTCACTATTATCTGTCATATCACTAAAAGACATACCATTTTGTCACCGAAACAGTTACCCATTTATGGCAATCCGTATCCCAAATGCGATCGCATTGTGTCCGAAGAGTTGGGTTACATCGAGACCGGTGTCAGAGCTGTTCGGCAAGAGATCACTCCATACGTCGATATTGCCATCAAATCCAGTCAAAGACTTCAACAGATATTAAACACATCGTATGAACACTCAAAATGTGAGATATGTTTTGATTTTTATGACATCTTATCATAATATATGATAATCTGTTTACTCAATGACAGCTACTTATGAGTACATCAGCTCTGAAGGCAATACTGTGGCCAAAGCGGCCGTCATTACCGGCGGCGGACTTCTCGGTCTATTGATAGCGTCGCGCAAAGGCTTCTTCAAGAAAGTGTTTTACACGACCGCTGGTCTGACGGCCGGTTCGGCCGCTTGTTATCCAACGGAGGCTAAAGAGTTGTCACAAATTGGCTTTTTTATCGTCAAAACAAAAGGTCCCGAAATAATCAAAGAATATACCGGTATTTAAACCACATTTTGACAGTTAATTGGTATTTGACTTTTGCGATCATTATTAACGCCATGTCATGTGATAACAGGCGTAGACCTGAGCCGCAAGAAGGGCTCCAAAGAAAGCTCAACAAAAGCTGATCCCAAGGACGTGGACACCATTGGGAAGGAAGTGAGTGACGTTCAGTATTATGGCTTTAGAGTATCAGAATCTTGGGTGAGATCTCTGATGAACTAAATCCTATGAATACATACATTGTTATAAATGATAACACATTTCATTTGATTGACAATTGTTTCGTTTTTAAGGCCAATAAGACTACAAATGGTGTGCAAAAGAAGTCAGAATCTGCTGTGAAGGGAGACTTCGGGATGAGTCGCAAAGAAGACCAGGACTTATACGCAAACAGGAGTTCAAAATAATATTCATAAATAGACGTTTGAATTGAGCTTTTATTTTATTAGCTAACAAATGATAGTTTCTATAATCTATACAATAATTAATAGTTGTGTTAATCGAATGGGAAATAAATACATATTAATTGATTTATGATAAGAATATCTCTAATATAGTTATAACAATTGGGGGACAAAATAGAGCAAACATTGGAAACAAATTTTAAAAAAGTTTGATTAAAAATTGTGACTTAGATTTCACAGCAAATACTTTGCATATCATATAATAATGAGCGTTAAAAATATATAAGTTATAAAAATCTCTATAGTTTTTAGTATCGATAACCGGGCGGATAGTATACTGAGGTCTGTGTCAGTCGGTCTCCTCTGTCGCCCCTAACGCTGGGCCGCGAGAGGACGCTATTGAAACTGCGGGGCCTTAGGTTTACCCGACGCTGACTGGCGTCGCTGCCGAACGAAGCGCTTCTCTTCTTCAGCTTCTCTTTGTGTCTCTGATCGTAGAAATTAATGGCACATCCGATAGGAACCCAAATGAGTAGTGTTATCATTATAACGGCGCCCACGATATTGTCTTTCATGAAACGGACTGCCAATGAGAGGGAAAACGGTTAAAGAGATTTGCAAATCACTATACCGTACATGAGATGAATCAGTTGTTAACACTTACAGAACGTATTGATGTTAATCTCTTCGATCACATCCCAGAATCGTTCGACAAAGTCCTGTATATTCTTTTCGCACCTCTGGTTTTCGCAGAACCCGAACTTACAGGGCGTTCCGTTGGGTAGCGGATCTCTTGGGGTGACGGCACGACACGCGTGGAAGAGTGTGGTGTTTGACCGACAGCACCGGACACAGGCGTCCCTCGAGTCCTCGCATAGACAGGGCATCATTCCGATGGCCTCGCAATATGTGATGCATTTGCCAGCTCTGCACTGACCCCTATCCAGACACGGCGTCTCGTTGGCCAGTGGTGTCGGTTCGGGACATTTGCTATGAGGGATAGACAGATGTATACCATGTTTATTGTCTGCGATAATGGCTAAATGTGTGTCAAATAACTCACTCGGACTCTCCGTCACAGTGGGACTCCTGTTTGCAATTGAGTTCGTCCTTATGTTTGCATACAATACCGGCCGGTCTTATCTTACAAGAGGCACAACAGTCTGAGTTCTTGTCACTACAGTAAGAGCCCGCTATTAGTTTGCATTTACTGTCACAACAAAGACCGGTCACGTATTCGTCTCCCTTAACGAGTATTCCTTCGTCGCATTCTTCGTCGGCTTCCACTTTAC